TGTCATTAGCTCCACATTCTTCCTTGTACTTGAAAACTATTCTTTATTAGTTCTTTTAGCAAAGTTTTGCTAAGGATATACCTGTTATGTGCTAAGTTATGGCCCCTAGAAGAAGATATGTAGCTCACAATCTGATCTTATTTGGAGATAAGATTCTTTTTTGGTTTAATGAAGTCTAGATGAGGTAATTTGGGTGGCCCCTAATCCAATACCACTGCCCTACACTCTCAAACAAACTTAAGCCAATTTCTCCTACTGGTAGAGTAAGACTAGAAATGAGCTGTCTTACATTTATATTTAAAATGTAATGATAAATGTTGAGCATTTTTTCATATTTTTGTTGGTCATTCGTATATCGCCTTTCGAGAGATATTTGTTCATGTCATTTGCCCACTTTTAAATGGAGATTTTTTTTTTTCTTGCTGATTTATTTGAGTTGTTTATAGATTCTGGGTATTAGTCCTTTGTTTAATATATAGTTTGCAAATATTTTCTCCCACAATGACATACCTTTTTATACCAGTCAGAATAGCCATTATTAAAAAATAAAAAAAACAATAGATATTGGCGCAGATGTGGTGAAAGGAGAATGCTTATGCACTGTTGGTAGGAATGTAAATCAGTACAACTTCTATAAAAGTCAGTATGAAGATTTCTCTAGGAACTAAAAATAGATCTACTATCCAATCCAGTAATCCCATTACTTGGTATCCACCCAAAAGAACAGAGATCACTATACAAAAAAGACACCTGCACTCACATGTTTATTGCAGCACAATTCACACCTGCAAAGATGAGGAATCAACCTAAATGCCCATCAATTGATCAGTAGATAATGAGAATGTATTCAGTCATAAAAAAGAATAAAATAATGCCCTTTGCAAGCACTTGGATGGAATTGAAGATCATCATCCTAAGTGAAGTACCACAGGAATGGAAAACCAAACACCACATTCTCACTTATATGTGGGATTAGTTAAGCGTCTTCAAAGGCTTATAGAAGGGTATAATGGACATCGGAGACTGAAAATGGGGAGGTGAGAAGAGAGCTATGATGCAAAATTACCTATTGGGGACAGTGTGCACTAGTGGGAGTGACAGTCACACCTAAAGCTCAGACTTCTTCACCACTTTATAATGCATTCATGTAACCAAAACCGTTTGTACCCCTAAAGGTACTGAAATAAAAAATGAAATAAAATGTAATAAAATTGATATCTTAAATGTTCCCGCATCAATTACATACACAACATATATATATATATATATATATATATATATATATATACACACACACATATATATATTATTTTTTGTATTTTCCTCTTATTACAGAATTACTTTCCTTGGAAACTCACTGTTTTAGCCGTCAGTCTCCCATAAACTACCAGCAGAGTGACTGGCAGGCAGAATTGTATGGTTAGTGAGAAAACTTGATGTTATTGGGTAGAGCCCAGTGAAATGAACAGGACTTTGAGCAACAGCATTTTTATTCTGAAAGCAAAAAGGTCTCAGATGACTTCTCTTTCCTGTCAAGTTCTGGATGTTTGGGTACTTTTCTTGTTTTTGTTTTCACCCTAAATTTTGTACTTTCTTATATATACTGAATGTGAAATAACTTAGTGTATTTCTTTGGGGATTCAGGATTTTGCTAGGTGCTACCAAGGGATGGATGTAATTCAGTGACATTTTGTCAGGCTGTTAAAGAGTAAATTTTCCTTGACTGTGGCAGGAGGTAATTATTTTTTGTTTGTTTGTTTGGTTCTGACACAGGGGAAGAAAGTTTGGGGTTGCTTTTTCAACTAGTGCAAGATACTTTTTGTTCTGTTTGTCAGGAAGGGAAAACATATTTTATTGTTAGAGCAATTGCCAGCCTTTGCTTTTCCCTGAAGTCTTGATGTAGTTTTTAACACTGTGAACATTTTTGAAAACTAAGTCTCTGAGCGGTTCTACTCTTCTCCCTAAAGATGTCTGTGATGTTCTTCTTCATCTTGATCCCTCCCAGCAATTTGTCTGTTGCATACTCTGTGACACTCATTCAGCAGCTCATATGGAATATCCTCTAAGAAACAGATGTATCAATAGATATGTTTCATACTCTAATGGGTGAAGCCAGCAGGATGGACATCTAAACAAATAATAATAATAAAAACACTTGATGTTGACTTTCAATTACTTATTTATGCAGATGGCTCTAAAAAGCAAGCTCCGTGAATGATATTTTTTGTAGCCTACCTTCATGTTTTAAAACTTTAGGTACTTGATTATAATGTACCAAAAGAATGCAATCTCCCATTAGACTGCTTGGACTTTTCTTTAAACTCATTAACTAAATTCTTAGCCAGCACTACATTGCTAAAATTTCTTTGAGGCAAATAGTGAGAACCAAGACCTCAGTTCAGGAGCTGATATACACCTGATACATTCTTGGTACCTGTCCTCAAGTTCTGGTTCCAGCTGTCAGTGGGCTTCCGTACTGGAAAAGTCATCTCCACAACCAACTTAGACTAACACTCCTCACATATACTCCGTGTTTCTTAACAAGGCCTTTGGGATCTCTTATTAAAGGAAAAAATTTGTTAACTTACATTGTTCTTAACCAAAGGTTAATTTGAAAGTTATCTGAAATATAAGCATGTATCATATTAATTAAAAGAAAAGTCCAGCAGGTAAGAATTTTTGGTCTTCATTATCAAAAAAGACAGTGCAAGTATAACAATAATAATACAAAAAGCTTCTGAATTCTTACTATATATTGGCACTGTGTATTTCTGCAAGCATCAACTCAGTCATTTCCCACATGCATCTGGTAGACAGGCATCATTATACTCATTTCACAGATGAGCTAACAGGCTTGTTTGGTCTCTGGATGAATCTTGTTAGGGATCTCTTTTCCCTTAGGAATAATTCTTTCCCTGAAAGAGTTTAAATGTCTATTGCAAAGAAACTTTTGGTGTTCCCACCAACAGACTCTACAAACACTTCTGTTGTTCCCATCATCACTATCACCTCCAAACTCTGTCTGAAGCAGAGGTAGATACAGCTTAGGGCTAAACTGTAATGGAGTTCAGGACTGGCTAACCCAAACATTAAGCAGGAACGTCACTCTCACCTTCCCCTCACACTTCTACCCTGATGCAGGTCATAAAACCTGGGAAGATCACTCTGATCTTCCCTCATCCATCTCCCCTGAAGTAAGTCATAAGATCTTCATGTGAGAGGTCCCCTTTGCATGCCCAGAGGAAAGGAACTGAAGACACAAACATTCCAAGAAGGTTCTGAACAAACAGCCCTTTCAAGGTATTCCCCAGTTTATTACAATGAGATTATATCTTTTGCTTCCTCCAATCATATTTCTTTCACTATTGTCCACTCTTCACCAAGCCTAAGTCTAAAAATACACATTTTTTTCTGTTTGTTCTTCTTCTGAAGGTTTTCATGTCATAAGAAACTTAGATTAAATAAGTTTGTATGCTTTTCTCTTGTTAATTTGTCTTTTGTTGTAGGGACTTCAGTCATGGATGGATAAGAAAAATGTTTTCTTACATACAGCTGCAACATTCATTAAATGTCTGTCTAGTACCTGGCTCTCATCAACAGGCCAATTTTTGCTTTTTGTTCTTTTTGTTTTTGTTATTAACACCTAAAAACTTCTTTTAAAAAAAGTGACCATCTGGGACTTGGCACTATTATTCAATGGTTTGGATTTTATTGACGCTGTATATTTTATTTTTTCCAGTTCTTACACTTTATTATAGAGTTGCTGCTCAGGAAGAAAAAGAAAAGAAAGAAAGAAAAAAAAGGAAAGTAGCCACTGTCCTCAAGGGTCTTAGATATCTATAAAGTTAAGGTGATGAAAAACGAAGGTTGAAAACCTGGATTTTTGTCATTTAATAGAGGTAAAAAAAAAGCAGGATTGTTGTTTATAAATCTACTTTACAAAATTGCTAATTTTTACAACTGTCTTTTCCATTTAAGTTTGTCAGCTGGTCATGTGATGGTCAGAATAAATTAAATACATTTTCTAAAAAAAAAATTCATATGAAGAGTATACTACCACCCTTAGTGAAATACCACATAATAAAATTAATTAACAGTATACTTTTAAATACGAGACCTAGGGGGAAATGAGGAAAGAAAGTATACTTCTATTTTAGAGGAAAATTACTTTCTTGTTAAATATTACCCTATGATGCCTATATTGATTTGTGTGTGTGTGCATATATATTTAGCAATTCAAATTAACAGTGTAAAAGGCAATTCAAATTTTGTAAACAATCTGTGTCCATGGTCAGCGTCCAATGCATCTGCATGAAGGTTCTGGAACTATCCAGTCCCTTGTCTTCCTTTTTTTCGGCGAGAGTTCCCTGGGAGGCACAGTCTACCTAGTGCTGACACTCCAGAGAATGCTGTGTTTTACCTCCCTGCTTCCCCAGGTAACTTGATGCTCTCTGACCCCTACCCTCATTCTTGCACCCAGGATCACTCTCTAATCTTATTCACCACTTCCTCTCCCAGCATTGTCTCCTCTAGAACATCTTTACATAGTAAACACATTTCTTTATACCCATCATATATTTCCCAAACAGTCCCTGCAACTCTCTTCTTACCTAAAGCCTGTTTCTCACCTAAAAACAGTGGCCCTAGCTGCCTCCACATATAGGCATGTATTACATACAAAATACACACATCAGTGATCTTTTGGCTTGCACATCCTAAAAAGGGGAAAAACTATATAACAAGAAGCCATACAACATGTTATTGGCAAATAAAGATGGAATTTCCATTTTACACAGGGTTTAGGGTATCCATATATGGCCCATAACAGTGCTAGGCACATAACGGATGCTGACCAAATGAATGAATGAAACATTTATGTTTGTTACACAAAATGTATTATCTAAAGCTACATGAATAGAGATGAAAGGTGGAGACCGGAAGAGCAGGGTAGCTAAGTTAAAAAAAAAAAAAAAGGAGCTAGGCATGCACAGGCAGCTTACCACATAAAGGCTTTCATGGAAATACAGCCCTACATCATAGAAGTTTCCATCATGCCTGACTGAGTGTGTTCTTGTCTTCAGCTGCTCCATTTGCCACCACTGCAAGACACAGCTCCCCAGTTGACCAAGCAGCGACACGCTGAGGATGTAAGTGCCTTGGGGCACCTTGTCCTTGAGACCCCTCACACATTTGATCCGTATTTGAAGATGCTGGGGCGATGGAGATGGTTTACTTTCCATAAAAGGTGGGGATCTTGAATTACACAGGAACTAGGTAAAACCAGACAATTAGCAACAATGGACTTTTTTTTGGGGGGGGGGGAGTAGACAATCATTTTTACTCAACCTGTAATTGTCAGGTATTAGCAATGATAACAGATGAGGACAGAGGATGTGTGATTACAGGGTCAAAAGGCAAACCTGCTGATGACAGACTGGAGGGAAAGTTTAGTCAATTTTTCAGCATGGTATGTTAATGATCTGTGACATCAGAGGCCATTCATCCATTATAATAAGAGAATTAACAGGAAATCAACACTTCTAAGAACCACACAGCATGACTTTTAAGATATCTAGGGTGGATGAATATGGGCAATAAGTAATCACAGACCATAATGCCCCAATAAAAAGTGAAGTGCCAAACAGGTCAGACTAACACCCCACCTGAATGAAGACGTCTATAGTTTCATCACGATGTCAACTTGCCCCACAGGCTTCAAATGAAGAGTCAAGAAATAAAGGGGGGAATAGCATTTATATGTGCTTTTGCCTAAAATTTAGCACAAACTGCATGTGATTAAAGGACATGACTTATAGGACGTTAAATTTCATTGTTCACCTATAGCTGAGAGAAGAAGGTCATTTTCATTTTTAAGTGGTTGCTGCATAGTTTATGCAAATTGATAAGATTGTTAATGGACTATTGTTTCTGATTAAACAAAAATTAAACTGGGATTATTAATAAATAAAATGTCTTTTGGTCATGTTTTCCATACTTACGAGTTTCCAATGGTTTACAGATTAATTTGACCTCAAAGAATCCTGATACCTTGTGCTTTAAGCAAAAATAATGTCATTTTTGGAAGCAAGTTACTCTCTTGGCCACCCAAGTTAGTGTCATTACCAGTTAATCTGCAGCCAACAGTAAGCACTTTCTAATCCTGCCTAGACCTTATTTTGTGGCAGATAATATATATTTCCATATAGATAGTATGCTTCTGGAATTAAATCACAGTTAAGCAAACAGTGAAAGTTGTTCAACTTTCTTTGTTTTTTTCATACAAACCATACTTAAAAACTAATCAGAATAACAATTCTTTTTAGTTTAATTAGAAAATCTTAATTAACAATAAAGACTTAACCTTAATATTTTGGTTTCCAAAAATATTTTAAAAATTAACACCATGTGAATAAATAAGACAATCTTTTTAAAACCTCAAGGCAGGATTACTGATGCAGGCAGAGTGAGTTATTAAACACATTCTAAATTAAATGCCTCTATGAATTTTATACTGAAATATATTGTGATAGTTTTGCATGCCAAATGTGACATTTTGTATTTTAGATTCATCTTCTGTAGTAATTTTGGAAATGTCATACAAACAAAGATTTTGTCATTTACCAATGGAATTACTATGCATGGCCGCTTAGCCATCTCTTTGCAGGCTCTTGTGGTTGTTTCAAGTCAGCAAGCCATAAAAAATCTTTATCTCTCTGAAACACAGCAATTTGGAAGATAATCGAATGGTGACTAGGGGGCAGAAATGCCAGTCTGAGGAATTATACCACAATCTCTCTTGCATTTACAACCTTCCTCAAAGCGAGTGTCAGCCGAGTAGGAAAAGGAGATAGAAGAAGATTCATCAAATCTCAAGCCTTGTTTCATTTGCATGGTGGCAGGTCTGCCTTATTGTCTAGCAGGACTGAGCCGGGAGTCCCACTGACATCCTATTCTGAGGAATTCCAGCAGCTTTGCTGTTGAGAGAGTTTTAGCCATTCTATTTCAGCATAGAATTCTCATCAAAAATATTTATTAAGGCCTGCTAAAACTCTGTTTCCCTAAAGAGTACTACAGGAGAAAAAGCACAGCAGGTAATCGATCAATACAATCGATCTTATCATTGAACATTTGCATCAGGGAAAAAGTCTGTTGCCAGAACCTCACCTTCCAGCAGAGTCCTGCTGCTCCCTTTGACTTATTAGTTACTTCTGTGAGGGTTCCAAGCTGGGCTGTGTTGTCTTTTTTACAAACATTTAGGTCAGCAATGACTGTTTGACTTGAAGTGCTGCAGCAGTTATAAGAAAGAGAGGAGAGAAATTGACAATGGCATATACCGAAAACCACCACACAATCAGATACTGTCCTTAAACATTTTGTCAGATGACTAGAAATTAGACAAACAACACATTATAGGTGGCGGAAGCGAGTGGCTTTTGAAGTGTAGCCCGCCAAAATATACACCTAGTCACTGCTCTTCCCACAATTAAAATGTCACTTGTTTTAGAAATTGTCAGAAGATCAAATATTTGATAAAACATTTTGTCACTTCATTTCCTACCCTCTCCTTCAGTCTTATGCACTGTCAGAGAAACTTTGAGAAAGTAGATAAAAAGCTGATATGACATAGACTTTTTCTTGTTTTAATGTGATGGTGAGTGATCAAGAATATCTCTACCCTTGAAACTACTCCTCAGGCACTTTTCCTCCTATTAATATTTACTGACTGTATTCGAGGTTCTTCATTATTGACTCCTTTTTTTTTTTTAGCTTCTCCAATCCTGAGAGTGTTCTTCTGCTTTTCCAAATTCATTTGAATTAAGAAGGATTTTGTATCACTTCTCCTGACTTAAGTTTAATTCCATCAGCAGGGCTATCTGTGACAATGACTGTACCCCCACCAGAGGAATAGCCTTTTGGGGTCTTACTACTGATTTGGTTTCCTGTGATACAAATTATTTCCCTTAATTTGGTTAGAGCTACACTGACACAAGGGTTCATTAGGACACCCACTTGCTGGCGATTCAATTTCAAATTAAATACACTTTGTTGTAAATTTTATTACTTTTAAACTACTGGATCTATTGTCTTTAATGGCCCTATTATACAGTTATGAAGGTAAACGATTTCTTTAGTAAACAGCACACATTTTATATTAACCACAGTGAGATGATTCCTCAGTTTCTTTTTCGGTTCCCTTGGCAAGAATTTTAAAGCACTGAGATATATCCTAAAAATTTAATCTAAATAATTAGACAATAGATTCATGATTATAATCCTTAAGAAAAAAAGAAAGAAAGAAAACATGGTCCCTGGTTACAATACCAACTGTTGGTAATTCAAGGTTTTCTAAAAAAACCTTTCTTAAAGTGAAAAAGGAGCGCGATGTGCATCAGAAGGTTAAGTCACAGCTTTAACCTGATACCAGGTGTCTAGAGATAAGTCTAAGGATTTGCCTCACCTTACAGCAGTCATATGCCAGGTTAGGAGGCAGAACCAGACACTGGTGCCCTTGTGTTAGGTCCTAAGGCGTGTTATTATTCTTGTTTTTCCTCTCTTAGAGCACTTATTAATTTTCATGATTTTATAAGTATATGTGTTTGTGCATTTTAATTTCTTTAATAATATAAAAAGCACTACTCCCTGTCCCACACACGCAAAAAAAGTTACTCATTAACTCACAGCTCAGGTATAACCACTGGAAGAATATTGACTTCTATTCTTCATAGCTGGGTAACTAGACACAATTTATTTTTTCTTTTTCAAAATAAGACTAGTACTATAAATATTATTCTGTAATCTGTATTTTTCCCTGTGCATATTATGAGCATTTTCCATCAAATTAATTTTTTTTTTTGCTACAGCACAAAATTTTGGCACTATCTAGTATTTAATTACAGATAATACCTAAATTTAATTAAATGAACCCTTATAGTTGGATATTTAAGGTAGTTTCTATTTTCACTGTTGCAAGTTAACTTATTATGAACTCTCTCGCACCTAAAGTCTTGTAAACTTTCCTGTCCACTTTCTTAGTACAAAGTTCTATCATTAGAAATATTGGGTATGGGAGACATGCTACTTTACATTTCACTGGTCTCTACCTTCATCCACCTAATTGTTGAAATGACACTTTAGTGATATATAACCCTGTCTGCATGACCTATTCTCTCAGATATTAACTAATTCTCATGGGAAAATGGGTTCCATTCCAGATAATACCTCATTTTCACTGCTAGTAGGGTTAGAAGTTCAGGAAAATGGAGGATGAAAAAGCAGCACTGATGTACAGCAGGATTTTTCAACCTTGACACTATTGACATTTTAAATCAGATAATTATTTGTTGTGGGGGCTACCCTATGCACTGCAGAATGTTTGGCTGAACCCCTGGGCTCTGCCCACTAGATGCCACTAGCACCCTCCCAGTCCCAAGTCTCCTGAGGGCAAAACTGATCCCTGCTGAGAAGTCCTGGTGTACAGTCTGAACTAGTATTTGCTGAGTGCTGTATGTTCCAGGCACTCATTCTAATATATTGCATTTCTTATCTCATTTCACTCTTAAAATCATCCAGCAAAGTATTCTTGCTTCTGTTCAAATGATGAGAAACTGAAGCTAAGGGATGTTGACTATCTTGTCATGACAACCATAATCATAAGGGTAAAGTCGAAGATTCAACAAGAGACCATTCAACTTGAGAACTGCCTCTGAATCTAAACCTCCTAGTAGAGGAGCAGAGACTGCTATCCAAACCTTGACAGTTCCTACCCTGAACCAAGGACTTTGACATTTTCTAAGAAATAAATAAGACATGGCTCCCAGCTATACTCCCATTCCTATAATGCCCCATTCCCAAACATCATATGGATGAAGGGGCATGGGCATGTCCAGGAGGAAATGGGGCTCATGCTTCCCAAAACCTGACCTCTAGGGCAAAGCAAACTAGGGAGTCTCTGTCATCTATAATTGCTCATATTTAATCCATAGCAAAACATACACATGAAAAAAATGCATTAAATCTACTATTATGGAACATACTTCTCAAGTGTTTTGTCAGTCTTTAAACATGACATAGGAATGTATTGGTTGAGTCCTTCCCCTTCAAATTTCAAATCCTGCATGAAAGAAAATAGAAATAAAATAAAATGGATTCAAAACACACTTGAAACATCTGTGTAAAAGTTGGCTTTTCTGAGAGCAAGATATACTGACCCTCAGGGTTAAGTTTCCCAGGGACAAATAAG